CTGCTCGGCATCCACACTCGCTTTGAATTGTCTTGCAACGAGTCTTGCTCGTCGAAACCATCCTCCTTGCTCCACCCTGTGCTTCCATGTGTACACCAGCCTCGTTGAAATGGTGTGCCCTGAACATGCTCTCACTTCCTCATTCGTTGACTCCTCCATGGCCGGAATCTTTAGCATTCTTTCAATCTCCACCTTTGTTGCTTCTTTGTCCAAAGCATCCAACTCTTCTTGAGTGACTTCTGGCGGGTCACCATCCTCTTCGCCTCCATAGCTGTATTGCATCTCCTCATTCATCTCTTCCGGGATGCGCTCTAATCCCAACTCCTCATCACCATGAGCTTCAACACTTTGGATGCCTGCGTAGTGCGGTGGATACAGCTTTGCAATCTTTCCACTGGGTGAGCCTTCAGCCTCATGTTCGGCTGGTCTTGTTGCTCTCACTGCATCTTTCTCTTCTTCCATGTGCATTCCGTACCTCCAAGCCTTCCTTCGCTGCTCTCTCCTGCTTTCTGCCTCTTCGACACGCTTGGCGACTCGGTGGTATCCTGCCTCTTCAGAACCTGCTCGTCTTCCACCTCCTCTTGGTGCCTCTTCGTTGATGGATTTGGCAGTGCAGGTGTTGTTGGTGCAGCCATATCAATTCCTTGTTGACCTTGACCAGCATGAAGGCCTGGGGCTGGTGTGACCAGTCCTGCAGCCACTGTTTGTGCTATGTTGTCAAGTTCTTCTGGCTGAATCTCTGCCTCCAATGTTGGCTGTCGGTACTTCTGAGCTTGGCCTCCATGCTTCATGAGAATGCCCTGCGGTGAGTAGGCCCATGGTAATCCTCTGCAAGTGATGAGGGCTGGGCCATCAAAAGCTTGTTCTGGAGCCAATCTTCGAATTGTCCTTGCTTCGCATGCTCCTTCTGGCGTCAGCACAATGTGGCAGTCGTTGAAAGAGTGCTTTCCACACCAAATGCCCTGTTCAAACACTTTTGATCCCTTGTGCTTGATCATCCTCTTGTACATGACCACTTCACCAAAGAGTACTAACTTTCCTCTGTACTCGTGTCCTGTGGCCAGCTCATAGCTCGTTCTCCCAACACCTTCCAGCACACGGTATCTGTTGATCAAGAACGATGCATGCGTGAAGGACCATGGATACAAGTGGTTGTCCCCCAAGATGGATAGTCGCGCTCGTTCTTCTGCAAATGACCTCAAGCAGTTTGCCAGCCTCCTCACTGTCTGAACAGCTCTCTCCACCAATCCATTTGAAGCGTGTTGCCCTGCTCCTGTGAGGCGGAGTTCAGTCTGCAATCCCATCACCTTCCTCACTTGCTGAACAGACCTCAGGATCTGGCGAGTTGCTCTCTCAGAGTCCGCTTGGAAAATGCACTTGTCTCTTCCTGCATTTTCCAGTGAAAAGCGAATCACCTCTTCAGTCACCTGCTTCAGACTGGCGGTGCCTTTGCTGGGTACTGGCACCACATGAATTGCTTTGGTTTCTGTTGAAGCCATGATCAAACAAGTGCCGAATTGGTCCTGCCGTTCCTGAACTCTCCCTTGTGTTGGCTCCTCCATTCGGCCTTCTAGATCCGGCTTTCCTTCTTGTGGCATGCGCTTGTCCTCCTTTGCTCTTGACGCCATACATGCCTGACACCATGGTGCATAGGGCCAATGAGTGACGAAGTGGAGTTCTTACTCAGGCAATGATGGTAGCTTCGGTTGCCCCAAGGTCATTGGTGTACGTTGCTGCTCTCTGAACAGCTTGCTTGCAATGTTCATTTGAAACTTGTCCTCGATGTCGACCTTGAAACCAATGAGCCTCGACAGCAACCTTTTCTTGCTACCAGTGCAAGCCAATCCTCTCTCCTTGCATGCCAGCTGCAACTCCTTCACTGTACTCTTCTCATTGTAGAGCACTTCGTCCAGCTCGACTTCATCTTCTCTTTCCAGGACATACCTTTTCTCGATGTCCTGAGCTTCAACTTGTTCTTCCAGCTCCTCCTCTCTCTCTTGCTCTTCTTCATCTGACCATTCAATGTGCCTGATCTCGCCTGTTGGTTCTGGATATGGGTGTACTGGCACTTCTGAGTTTGGTGCCCAATAGTCCAGAAGCTTGTAGGGCGAGAAAAACGTGAGCGTCCTCTCAGGATTCCTATCCGCGCTCACTTTCCTGAAAGCCTTCTCACCTTGCTCCTTGTAGTCCTCTGTGTTCTCCACCTGCCTCCAGAGACCATCTTTGTCTTTCATCAAGGTCATCCGAGCTTTCCAGTCGCCCTCAATGCTCTGGCTGGGATCCACCATGTAGATAGCCACTGGATCACTATGGGCTAGCATTCCATTTGGCAATCTGTGCCAACCTGGAACGAGTTCCAATTCCTCTACGTAGCGGCTGAGATAGCCTCGAAGTACCATCACCCTCTTCTCTTCAGTCTTCTTGCCATTCCTCTGCTCTATCCCGTAAATCCTTGCCTCGAACTGCAGAGAATGTCGTTCATTGCTAATGGGGATGGTGATATCTCTCTCGGTGTGGCAAAGCTGCAGGCTGTCCTCTTTTGATTGAATGCTCCATCCTTTTCGAAGCAGCCTGCCAGCACAAATGATGGGATGTTGGACATTCCCAAGAACAAACTCTTCGATGATCTCAATCTCCTTGCCACTGACATCTTTCACTCTCACCTTAGCTCGTGTCAAGCCTTGGTGAGCTATTCTTGTCCCCTGAGCATCCACCATCTTCAACTCTTTGCACCTGGCCTCCATTCTCCCACGTTGCCATAGTTGGCTGGCAACACTGACACATCCGCTCCACTGTCGAGCGTCACGAAGCATGCCTCCTCGTCCAAATCACCAACACTGACCATCTGGATCATATGGAAGGCAATGTCCTCAGTTTCAACTTGTTGCAAGTCCATTGCAATGATGGGGACTGCTTCAGGTGCCCAGACTGAGGGTTCCAGGCAATCATAGAACACCTCATGCTTCATCTCTTCCGCTTCGTGCTCCACCAGCTGCTCTGATTCCTCAAAGTCATCAGCCAATTGCACCATCTGCACTCTCCATGGGTGCCACTCACTATCTGCTGCGGTCCGTGGCGTGGTCAAATCAAAGACCTCAGTGAACGGTGCATCAGGTGGTGTTGCAATGCGAACCATCTTCACTGACGTAGTCTGTGGTGTAGTTCCACCACCTGTGTGCCCTGTCGACGAACTTGCTGCTCCACCAGGGTTTGAATGCTCTTCAACTTGTTGAACTCTCCTCCAACAGTCCTTAGCATAGTGACCTGGCTTTCCGCAGACATGACACACGCCACTCTTGCTGCCTTTTCCACCTTTCTCATTCTTCCCTTTTTCTGGCTTTCTCCATGGACCTTTCTCCCACATAGTCTTTCCTTTCTCCTGTCCCTTCCAGCCTTTGCCTTCTCTCTTGCCCTTTCCTTTATCTTTGCTCTTGCTCTTCCCTTTCACATCTTTTCCTTTCTTTCCTCCTTCCTTTCCCTTCTCCTTGCCAACGTAGTCGACCTCCATCGGCATAGGGTCATCTCCACTGGCTCTTGTCGGAAGGGCCAAGCTGTTCGATGCTTCCCACCTTGTCGTCAAAGCCTCAAGGTGGTGGATCTTGTTCTTCAAGGACTCATAGGTCGTCGAATCATCGACCCAGAGTTGCAAGTGCTGCTTCATGTAGTTGGGGCAAGCCTGAAGTATGGAAGCCACCTTGGCATCTTCACTGTACTCTCGTGCTGAAATCCTCTCATACTCGGCCACGATAGCCTCATATTGAGGGAGTTGTTCACTGAGTGTTTTGCCCTCTGCGAACTGCACACGGGACAGCTGAGTCAGTAGGGCTAGACTCCTGGCCCTCGTTGCTGGTTGCATTTCTTTGAGCAGAGTTTGCCATGCTATGAACCCATTTTCCTGCTTCACATGGCGGACCAACTTCAGCGGCCTCTGCCTCATGTAAGACGTGAGCAAGCTGTACAACCTGACTGCCATGCCCTGCATCTCTTCTGACATGTCGTCGAGGGCATAGTCCGCATTGAGCTCCTTCTCAACAGCCTCCATAGGGCTGGATCGATGCCCCTCACATAGTTGCAAAAGGAAAACTTCCAATCGCTCCAACCTTTGAGTTCAAGGTCACGCGACTCAGGCTTGAACACGTCCGGCGTCTTCAAATGCCGGGACCAGGCTTGTGCGCTCTGTGTCACCTGAAGTCGTTCCAAAGCAGTCGAAATGAGCCGCAGGCTTTCTTCAGCCATTGCTTCAATTCTCCGGGGCTTTGGATAGTAGCTCCTCGTGCTCCAATCTGCTCCTCCTTCTTCGCCTTGTCCTGGAAAGCTTTGCCCGCTATAGGCCACCAGCTCCCAAAACTTCCACTGTGCCACCAATGCACAGACTTGGTCACCCTGGATCTCCTCTTGTTTGCTTTCGAGCCTCTCTAGAAAGGACCACCTGCTGGGGACCACAACAGTCACCTCACGGATCGGCCTCTTCCTTCTCTTCTTCTTTCCTTTCTCCCTGACGATCAGGGATGCCTTTGTAGCTCTTCCTGACTTCACCCACTTGACCTTGCCGATGTAGATGTCTCCTTCAAGGATCACGGAGTGGAAACAGCGCTTCTTCACTTTCCAGGCTGTGGAGATCACACGTCCTGGACTATAGTAGTTGATCTCCTGCAAGGCCGGGGCGCTGATGCCACCTGCAAGGCAAGCGAGGATCAAAAGCTCGCACAACCAGAGTCCTTTCGCTCTTCCTCCAACCAATGAGGTCCGTGGCCACGAAGTGGCTGTCGTGGTGCCAAGCGGGAGCCCGGGCTCGCTACGGCCCGGGCTCCGCTACCATGCAAAGTAGCGCAGACACTATTTTCAGCTGCAAATTGAGCCTTCGTGTTCACGGCGTAAATGTGTCAAGACGATTGACCTGAGTGTGAACCTTGTGCCGTTTCATGGATTTCTAACAGGGTTTGAAAGTGGGTTTTTGAGGAGCATCTGAAATCAGTCTGTGCAAGGCAGCTTGGAGCTGCCTGTGTCCGCCCAAAGTATCAATGCAGGCATCCAGCTTGATGTTCCTGCCACACGTGGCATATGTCGCATATGCATCAGGTGTCGATCAAGGCAATTCAAGCCATGCTGCAAAGGTCTGTGTTGCTCACTTCGCACCAGAGTTCCTCAATGATCCAGCAAGTAGACCTTCAATGGACGGTACCTGGAAAACAAGAAGCCATTGACACCGTAAACAAAGGAAACAATTTGCTCCAATAAGGGTGCGGACAAAGACCTCCTTAGCAACATTTTCCAAGTACCACTTGAAGGACTTGCACCTGAATTTTGCAATACCAAAATCCAGGTGCCCAGTTCAAAACATGCAGCATGCATCCATGCCAAGTCCGTGCAATGTCAATCTCAAGATGCTGGCCTCTAGCCCAAAGAGTCCCAGCTTTTCCTGCCTTGACTCCTATATAATTTAGGTCATTCTAGGTCGGGCTTTGGTCCTTTGACCAACTCCACAGCATAGAGCCGCTTAATGTCACTTGAAGCATCTCTGACCTCTGGCACCATCCAAATGTAAAGCCTCTCCGAGCCGTCCTCTTCACTTTGCTGCGCGATAAACTCGTTGGCTCGAATCACTGACTTGACCAGCCGATTGAGAGACTCTGACCCGATCGCCGTCAACCGGGCAGATCCCTTCTCTGTGACAATGTTTTTCACGACTGTGCCCAATTTAGAAATGTTTTCATCAGAAGCAGGAGCCCTCAAAGATTCTACTTCTCCCACCATAGTTGGCTTCGCAATGGCTTGAGTATTGAACCTCATCCGCTTTCTGGGTTCATCATTTAGAGATTGAAATTCTACAAGCTCAGGGTAAAAGGCGAGAAATCCATCCATCGTTGCAAGGAAGGCGGACACGTAGGAAGTGGCAGCTCTCATCACTTGGAAGCTTGTTGCCACTGATTTAGCGCCCAGTGCATCCATACACGCTTTGCCGTACTTCATAAGTCTTGCCCTGTGGGCCTGTGTTGCTTTGATGACATCGGTGTCCTGGCAAGCAAAACGGGGAATCAAACAGGAACAATCAGGACATGCTCAAAGAAAGTTCTTCCCACCCAACTGTTTGACACCTTTGTGCCCCCGTCATCCCTGTCCATCTTGCAAGTGATGACCCAGTCTGCTCTTGCTTGTCCCTCGACCTCTTCGGCTGCGGCAGCTCTCGGCAGCAAACTGGGTCGCTTTGGCACTGTGAACGTGCAGCCCAAGTGTGCCATTATCACAAAACCGGTCACCCAGCGCAGAATGCGTGCTCGGTGTATGGACCGAAGCATCTTGGAACCAAGCCCATCTAAAATGTTAAAGCGACCCTGCATGGTTCTACTTGAGCCATGGCAAATGGAGATCTAACAAACTGATGCAAACTGCAGGATTTGGATCCTTTGAATTATATAAGAGAGTTGATAGTTTTCACATGCAATGGCTTCTGGGCTCTGTGCTGCAAATGTTGCCGCAACGATTTCCGGGACTCCAAATCCTCCAGTCGCGAAAAAAGAGCACAGGAGGCTGCACATTTCCTCAAGGCTGTGGACAGTTCTTCAGTTAAGACGCCCGCCCCCAGTGTCACACCCGTTGGAAGAGGAGCAGAGGCGTATTGGACCAAGACTTCCTCTCTTAAAGAGTCACAATCACTTGGTGCTTCGATGAAACCACCATTCGCTGCTTTGCATTTTATGAGTGTCGCACGTACTCGTCCATCCAAACCTTGGTGACGTTTGAGATTTTGGAATATCGGTCAAGTCACTGTGCATGCTTGTGCATGAGAAAGGATGTTTGGAGTCCATCCATCTTGTCTCCCCCAAAAGTGACCTCGTGTCATCACTGTAGTAACTTTGGTGCTTTGGCTAAAGCAAAAGGAATGAAGATCACGAATCAAGCTCTTTTGCTCACAGAACTCATCCTCGCACCGTTCCAAGTTTCCATGGTCCTACAGTTTCGGGTTCCCAATGGTTCCTATCTCCAATCCCAGCAGCAGCAGCTGCGCGAAGCTTGTTCCGCACGATTTCGACACCTGGGACCTAGAGACGAAGGGAGTCGTGGCTGCTTGGCACATGAAATGACTTGAAGAGATGTGCCTTGTACGCAACTCCAGCTGAATCAGTGCCTGGATGGACGAAATTAGGAAATGAGACGAACCTTTGCAGTGTTGGACACATGCACAAACTCCCTGTCCAACCTTGCCAATAACGAGAGGTTCTGAAAATGTGATACACTCGTGAGCATGGAACGTACCTCAGTCATGTCTTCAGCTTTAACTCTTGCTACTTTCACTTTCTTGAACATTTCCAGTCCTTTGCAAAATTTCTTCTCAAACTTTGACACCTTCCTGGGCTCTAGAGGGCAAGAGTGGAAAGCCTGAGCGCTTGGCTCGATGTCGCCCCCGCACCTCGAAGCAGGTGAGGGCTTAAATTTGAAGCTATTCAGTCTGCGTTTTGGCTCAAAACAAGCTTATAGCCATAGCAGCCATAGCAGAGTAAGCTCAGCTTAGATGAAGAGCTTGGGGAATCTGCTAGAGAATCCGCTCTCACACTTGTATCTGCCTAGCTCCCGATTTGGATCGATTTGGAAGATCCGAAACTGCTTTTACCTTATGCATCATCTTTGCGATGCAAGTGCGTTTACTGGAAAACGTTGTGAATGACATGAAGATGCTGACTGTGTGCCCCAGCAATGGGGTTGTCTTGTGAAGTGATCATTTTAGCGAATGAGAGTGATGCAGGTGGAAGTGCCTCGATGCATTTCAATTCTTGAATCACTGCTTTTCCCGGAGTCATGAAATTGACCACATGGAATACACTTGGCACCAGCTTTTTCTCAGCAGAGATGTCCTTGGTGCGGTCTTTCGCATGTCTAGCATGACCCTGCGACTGGGTGCATGACTCAAGCAGCGGTGGAGTCTGGCACTGTCCGGGCCACGGTATTATTGCCAACCATCCCTTTGTATCCTTGGTCTGCTTTTGGAGTCCACAGGGCCGTGCTATCTTTCCCTTTGCATTCAAGATTCAAGAACAGTTCTCAAGCATATTCGCTAATATCACAAATATAACACCGTTCAATCAGTTTTCCAATTACATACAATGCAAAAGAACACCGAAGGGAACAAGAGTTAAGCCAACAATCCCAGTGCTTGGAACTTCACTTGAATGCAAGGGACAGTTGGAATTCAATTGGGACCGTTTGCCCAATTCACTGTCCTTTTTGCATTGACCTCTGGAACCTCTCAAGCCGAATCGGCGTTCCCTTGAGACTGGAGTGGAGACAAGGCAAAAGTGCTATTATGTAAGTTATATTCAATTCTTTTGAGATCCCCATCCGAAATTCCAATGTGGATTTTTGGTGGTTTTTGTATGTGCAAGCATATGCATGACATGTTCTCTTTGTGCCTCGAAGTGAAACGGGTGACACAAACTGTGCCGAAATGACACCATCAGTGCGAACACAAAAGATGCGAGAAGCATTGTTTTCACTAGCCCTTGTCAGCGATAGCTTGGGCGAGCCAATCCAGGCCCTGTCGTGCAAAGCATTTAGCTGTGACATGATGTGACATGTCTCGTCTTGTTGCGAACTTAACAAGAAGCTACTACAGTAGTTAGTAATAATGCCCTTTCTTAAAATCCATTGAACAACAACGACATCAAGGCCCTTCAAGGCCTCATGGAGACCTTCACCGACTGTGGCGCAAGTCTCCTGCCGGGTCAACATCGGATTCAAACCAGAAGTCCTCGTTGCTTGTTTGTTTTTAAAAAACAACTTTCCCTTTTATTTTCCAACAATTCTGCAGCGCCGAATCTGGAGCCCGCAGTCAGGGTGCTTTTTTGTGCTTCTACGGATGCTGCTTCGGTCGGTCCGGTCCTGCACGAGCCACTTCCTGCGGTACTTGCCGAGATTGTTTAAGCCCAGCTTTGTCACCAGCTCCTCGAAAGCACCACACTGGTCGCACTTGACCAGATTTTGAGATCTTGAGTATTCAAATTCTGAGACTCTCCTGAGTGCTCATGGCATTGGGCAAGTCTTGTTTATTTGCCATCACCAGCAACACAGCATCCTCGAAGGCCGCTCCAGCAGATTCATGATCGGCAGTAGTGCACCAAAGAAGGATTATTTTGGAAGACATGGGAAAGAAATGAAACAGTGAAACACACATTGTTCAGCAGTGTGATGATGTCCTTCATCTCGTCCCGCTGAAGCATTTTCATGAGCTCTTCATGTGCTTCATCAATACGATCGCGATCACTGCTATCGATGACCTCAGGGGAAGGGTATATATAGAAGAGCCCTTAATTCCTCAATTTCACTCTTCACTGCATCATTCACTTTCAGAAACTTCTCTGAGAATGGCACGAAGATGAGCCCATCCGTATTCCTGAACCATAGATATGAGATACAATGTCCAAAGTTCTCAAGCACGATGTCAAGGCTTTTGCAGTACGAGCTAGTGCTTCCCAGGAACTGGTAATAGTGCTGCCAAATCTGCCGTGTTCTGGTCTGGCCGCCAAGGTCCCAGACCGTGAACAGGATGTTCTTATACTCCTGACAGATGGGGACCCAATTCAATCATCCCAGAAGTGAAGAGCGACTCCGGCGGATGTGCGCCGAAGGCATCTCGCTAAGCCCTGGTCTAATTTCTCCACGTTGAAGCCCACGGTTGGCAGTGTTCTGACCTGCACTCCCAGCTTCAACCGATACCTTGGAGTGACACCAGAGTGAAACGAGAGTGAAAAGACTGCAATTCGGGTGTTGGACTCAAAAAATGTGAGGTTCTGAGTTCTGAGGGCTTGACAAGGTGGTTGTCTTGCCTGCTGAATCCTGCCAGACCATGGGCATGCGGCAGAATACGGTGCTCGACATACTGGCTGTAGTTGAGGACAAACCCTTTCGGTCCAGGCCAACCATAAGGATACACACCTCACGCTTGCCTACGAGGTGCCTGGGCAATCGAATCGAGTTCGAAAAGGCCCAAGGTAAACACGCATGGGAACTCACATGGCAGAGATGTCTCGTTATCGTTTTGACTTTTGGTGCGTACACTTGCTTGCCATCAAGCTTTACCCTGTGGCTCCATGCTGCCGAGTCACCCCCACATGGAGTTCAGGACATCACTAACGCCCATCGCCTGAACACCACCTCAGCAAAGTTGTTCCACGTTTGACGGAGGGGCAGACGGGCGGCGGTGCAAGCCACGAGACATAATTGCGGCGGATCACCCCACAATGCGTCCTCGTCCAAAGGGAAGCTACGGTTACAGTGATGCTATTCAACAGCATGTCAGACCCAAGTGAAGAGACTGCAAAAGGGTCAAACGAGAAGTCTCTTGAGCAAGATCTGAGGCCGGCTCCGACAGCCCTTGCCCCATGACTCACTTGCTCTATCGCCCCATCTTTGTGCCATAAGCTTGGCAAGTGGGATTGAGGGCTTCATGTTTGAGGAAAAACGGCCGCAGCCGAGGATTCCAGCTCCTTTCAAGCTCTTTCAGCAAGAAAGGCTTGACCACAACAAAAAAGCAAATTGCACAGAAGTTCACAAGCTCACATGTAGCCTCATGTCGAAATGTTTCATGGCCATTGAACAGCTGAGAGAATGACTGCCAGGTCCGAAAGCCAATCTCCATCTCCTAGCGTTTCCAATGGCTTCGAATGTTGCTGAATGCTTCTTTCTTCACTTCTTTCTTCATCCTCTCCACCATAGAACCGCATCTCGGGATCATAGCCTTGCATGAGAGTGCAACATGCTTATCAGAGTAATTATTGCCCATCCTTTCATCCTAAACTTTTGGTTGCCGGGTTTGATGAATCTCTATGATTCAGGTGATCAACCAATGGAGGACGATTTCTAGAAAACCTTTAAACAATGCAGCCACTTAATGTACTTTATTTGATCAGTTCACAAGCGTACAGTTTGACTGAGCATCGGACCTCCCAAATGCATGAAGAAGGCCTTGTCCGCTGCGAACAAACCTACCAGAACCCATTCAATTCTCTGCACCAGAAAAAGGAACGGGCCTTCCCTCCGCCTCCAGCCATGATGGATGACTTTTGGATCTCACTGCCAGTATTGGTAGGCATAGGCCTTTGCCTCAAAAGTGCTTCAATATTTGTCACGACTACAGTCAGAGTATCTTAACCTTTGCTGTAGGACTACTGTTGCAAGATAAAGTACAACATCCAAGTCAAATGTAATACACATCAACTTGAAATTCTCACGTGGTAGGGAAACAATTGGCACATGATTTCTTGCTCGAATAACCACGCATCTGCATTACCACTCGGTCTCTACTATATCTGTCTTGCACACACAAGTCAGACATTGCTGGCTCAGCAGCTAAACTGATGTGGAGAAATGTGGTAGTGCAACTCCAAGCACCATGGCGAACAAAACAAGGTAAGAACATGCTTGTGCAGCTCCACCAAGTTTGGAGCTCATGGCTCCGAGCGGGAATCGCACCTTGTCAGGCACTGTTTGCATCCGGTAGATTCCCATCAAAGCCCATGCAGCTACCCCAGCCCAGGCCAAGTCACACTTGGCCACCGCTCGTTGGCAAGCGATCCCTGCAACCAAAAGAACTACAAGTACAGCGGCATTCACCGAGCCTGCAACACCAGTCTCGTCTTGCCATCCCAACTTTCCCAAACAAAGGAAGCCACTCACACAGGTGGCCACCACAACCCAACTGCAGTTCATGGTAATGCCGCTGGCAAAACACATGTACTGGTAAATCCCGTGAGTGGTCTCAGTGTTGACATCGGTGTAGATGCTGAGCAGGAGCCCCAAGTAGATGACGATTATCACCATCGCGCTCCAGAAGCGTTCATTGTTGAAAACGGGTAGCCACACACCATTTGCCACAAAGGCCAAGACCAATCTCTCGCGCACAGTCAGGCCCGTCAAAGGACAGTGTCGATCAAACAAAGCATCTGTAGTTTCGCTGGGGAATAGCTGAGCAATTGCAAGCACGGTTTCGAGAAGGTAAATCACCCCCCACACAGCAAAGGTTTTCCCATCAGGTGACAAATATGTGGGGTTCTCATCGGACAATTCCTTGTTGTCCTTTCCACCGAAGAATTTTTTGGTTGCCAGAACATTGCAAACCACCATGAACACAAAAGCACCAGCGACGGCTGCAGCTGGAGCCGCCATGGCTAAGATTTGTGCTACAAGATATGATATGTCTTATGGATTCTTGTGGATAATTTCATAACATTCCACAAACGCTAATAGCCTATATGCGGAAGATTTGTTTTAGAGCAGCTGGTTGAACTTGACAACTGCAACCGCTCTCCTACAATGACGTTCTCTTGTCACATTGACATATTATATGATCCGTGTACTAGCCAAAGTGCTTCGTCTGCTAATTGAAATGATCGCAGCAAAGAAGTGTAACGGAGAGTCGCTTCTGAATGCAAGAGGATAAAGCAAGCCGGTGAAAGCTGGATCTACTGCCTTTGACTTCAGCCCCTTCCAATTGCAGCAAAGTTTCCCAAGTGTCCAAGTAAAGCTTAGCCTCGGAACTTCGCTGCTCAAAGCTCGCAACCCTCAACGAAGATCCAGCAACGACATGGGTGGCCCAAGGCGCTGGCACACCTAGTCCAGAGCTTCCCTCATAGCCGAGGTTGTCAAAATGTATGCCTTCGTTGACAAAAAGAGAGACACTCAATGCAGCCTTAGTACTCTAAGGCCCTGGTCCGTTACACCACGGCTTGGAGTTGCTGACTTGAGAGGGGAACACATGATCACTATACCAAGAAAGAGTATAACGATGAAAATGCCCACATGGGATATCTCTAACATTGGAAGTGAAACCATGTTGCATGCTTCTAGTAGCACTCTCCTCCTGGAGGTGAAGCTCAGCATTTGCAAACATCACCGTCTGAACCGCGTCTCTGTAAGGGCCAGGCCCAGGATATTGGGCACTACCACATGCCTCTACGGAGTCATGCGTCGACTCGAAGGGAACAGTTGAAGTGAAGGCAAAAACGACGAAAGGATGCAAATGTCGAGGAGATTGAGTCAACAAACTGGAGTCGCTACAGGGAAACGACAATGTCATACCTTAATCTCACTTGACCTTTGGCTTTGGGAAGGACTTTGTCAGTTCCCTGTATGAAACTGTCTATCCGAACGAAGTTGATATGAAAAAATCATATAAAATGAAACTTTTGACTGTGTAGGATAAATAAGCAACATGCTGGGATACCATAAACAGATTGAATCTTCAAACAATTGAAATCGAAAGGGGTGTTCTGAGAGATTCGGTGTGGGGGTTCCTTCCTTTGTCCTGCCCATGTAAGGACAGGAGTGATTGATGGGAGGTTGTTACTTAACAACAACCTTCTACTGCAGTTGTTTTGGCAATCCCGTTCCTCCTTTTTGTTTCTTCTAATCTACTCTGGAAATTAGGTTTATAGGTGATGTGTAAGAAAACATGTTATTGCTAGATGTTGCTAGATGTTGCTCGTTGGGACCTGTGTGAATGATGGAGCGGTGATTCGGTGGTGCGTGAAACACATGCACCACTTGTGGCCTCTGCCCGCTCCACCGCGACAAATAAACCAAATAAAGCTACACGAACACCTGTTATCTCTATGTTTGCTCTTTGCCGTCGAAACTGAAACAGCACGATGTCGCAGCCAAAGGCATTCTACCACTCTACAAAAACTTCAAATTCTTAACACACGAGTAAATGGTCACCTATCAAATAGTCTGAAAGCGCATTGGGGTTTACAGTCCATCCCACTTTGAGAAAACGTCGGGTCCCCACCAAGATACCCACCTCAGACCTACCCACTGCCTGGTTTCACCCCCCTTACTTGCACACACGGATCTTGCATCAATCCAAACCATTTCTTGCACAGTTTCACCTCTCTGCTCAGGCGCCTTCGTCATCATAGAGTGGTCTGCAGACCGCGTCACCTAATGGTGACCTGCACCTTTTTAGACCATCTCCGAAACGGATGCTACGAATTTGGGAAAGCCGCTTTGCAAGCCTTTTCCCGAATCTGTTGCGTAGTTAAATGGCCGCACAAAGGCTTCACTGATCCTTTGCTCCCGTAACACGACAGTATCCTCCAAAGAAGATACTTTTCCCAAAGTCGAAGCCAGTATCTCAGTCAAGGTGGGTTCATCTTTCAATCGCAACGAAGGCTCGTGGCACTCCCCCCAGCTTTCTTCAATGTAGCTCCAAGTAACTGAGGACGAGCGCCTACCAAACCACTGACTGCATTGTAGCAAACGTTGATCTTTCGCGTTAAGTCTTTGATTCCTGACCGCCTCATGACATGGTGCAGCAGGACCAACGGCCCATGCTTCTTGGTAGGGAAGAAGTTAGACTCAGTCGGTAGGATGGAGCGCGGGACCAACTGTGTAAATAATGTTTGTGTGACTAGAGCATTCTTTATAATTTTTAATTGCGCCTATCAAAATGGGAACAAGGCCAAGATGCAGAGCTGGGCCAAAGCCAATTATAGCCACGAACCACCAAGAACCCTGGCGACGGCGACGGCCGAGGAAGTTCCGCGCGCGCAGTGAAGAGAGCTAGAGCTGAGATAAGGCGTTCTTGAAAACAAGCCGGGAAACAAACCTGGTGCCTCTCAGCTTTCAATGCCCCAAAGAGGCGGCGTGCTTGGAGGTGGTGAACGAGGCGGCAGAGCTGTCAACAGAGAGTGCTTTTACGTTTTCTTCGAAAGCGTTGACGCTGCGTAGTGGGGAGACACTTACCTATACCAAGGCAAGGCCTGGCGCTGCGTGGGCCCCCGATGTGGAGGAACCCAAGGTCGTGGTCAACTGAGACTTGCCATCGAGATTTCACACTCGCCGAAGCACGCAAGGCCTGTGAAGTGCTTGAGTGTTCTCCCGGTCGCTAGCATCGCACTGTTTCAAGCTGGGAGAATTCTAAGGCAAGGCAGGTTCACCACTACCGGTGTCCGAGCAAAGCCAAGGATCGCCATATCAAGTCTGGATTTGAGTGGACAAGCCAACTTCAGTCAACATTGAATGTTGCCAAACGGCATTGAGGCGCGTCAGCACTGGGCCTTCTCACCTGCGCTATTGGCGAAAATTTGTATGCGCAGGCAAAGGGGAGAATTCGGTCTTCAAGTTGCACGTCGGAGGAAAGAAGAGATTGGTGCGTCCCACGTGATTTTAGATGCTGCCGAAGCCCAGAGAAAAGCGATGAAGGCAAATGTTTTGGAGGAGCTTTTCAACGAAGGTCCACCCTTGATTGATTTGCCAAAGAGGCGATCCCACTCAGTTTGAGCGTTTCGTACGAGACTTCCTCCAAAAGTCACGCGTCGACGCGCACGATCCTCGCAGAGGGTCACCCGCGCACAAACCAAATTCGCAT